CAGGGCTCTGCCCGCCGGCCCCGCTCACAGCCTGGAGATCTTGGGCAGGGGGGTGTCGGGGGGGAGCCCCTCCAGCCACTCCACCAGGATCCTGTTCAGCGCCGCCGGCCTGGGGGGATGGCACAGAGCTGGGGTGGGAGCCGGCATCCCCGGGGAGACGAAGGAGCCCGGCTCCGATGGGGCGAGGCCGTGCACGCCGGCCGTGGTACCTCTCCATCTGCGTCCAGTGCCCGCACTCCTCGATGTGCTCCCGGTGCAGCTGCGGGATCTGTGGAGAGATGCGCGAGAGTGGGAAGGGGTTGGTTTGTACCAGGATCCGGCACGTTTGGCACCAGTAGAGCCCACCCCGGGCTGCCCCTGCATCCCCAGCTCTTCCTTTTGACAAGAGCAAATCCCCTCCTGCCTGCCGCATGTGGCAAATGCCCCCCTCTCCCCCTGTCCCCCCTTATCAAGTGATGTCCCCGTATCTGAGCCAAATCCAGCCCATCTCGGCAGGATGGACCTGCCCCGGGGCTCTCCCGTGGCGGGATCTTATGGAAGTGGGATGACTTCGGTACACGCCGGTCCTGGGCAGGGGCAGGGCTGGGGTGGGACGGGACCACGCTGGCTTACCCACTCCTCCATGCCCCTGCTCATTCTGGGATGCAGCACCACGTCCTTCCCGGCTGTGACCATCAGCGCTGGCATCGTGATCTACAGGGGGGACAGGTGACAAGGCAGGGAAGGCGCTGGGTCTGCAAATGCTCCCCGCTGGCTGGGATCCGTCCCCACCTTCCTGTCCTTGGCAGAGAGTGCCCAGCGCCAGTTGGGTCGCATGTTGCGGTACCAGCTCAAGGGGCCACTGGGAGAGACGGGAACGGGGTGGAGATGCTGGGACTCGGCTCCTGCCGACACCACCGCGGGGAACATCCCACTGCCCACGGCACAGCCGGCACGGGAAGAGCCTGCAAGGGGAAAGCAGCCTCCCCTCCTACCCCCAGCCTCGCCCTTTCTTGGGGGGCCTCGGTGGGTTTGGGGGGTCCCCCTTCTGCAGCAGCAGCGGGGGGGTGGGGGGTACCCCACCAGCCCCCCGGGCTCCTGCTCCTACCTGAAGCCGGATTTCTCGAAGCGCTGGATGTAGTACCGCAGCTCGGGGCCGTGCAGGATCTGGCTGGCGGGGGGGTT